CCGTCAGTTCAGGCCAGTCTCGACGCAGAAATGGCGACAATTCTGCTCATTGCAGGGTTACAAAAGAGTAAAATCGGTGGCCGCGAAGAGTGCAGAACAGAGAGGTAAAACAGCAACAAAACCAAAAAGACCAAGCACTAGTCTGCGTCTTCGATTCGAGAAAAGACGAGCGAATCGTTTAATGCCAGACCAGGAAGGCACAGATCGAAAGAAAAGAAAGGAGTTCCTCTTCAAATGGTCCTTGAAATCAAAAATGCATGCCCGTCGTGCACGTTACAAAACTCGGAAAACGAAACAAAAAATTGTACCTTCGGCGTCGGATGATACGACCGCCACCACCACTACCACAACAACAACAACTTCTGTTGAATGTTGTCCCACACAGGCTGATGATAACAAAGAAAAGCAATGATTTTTTGTAGGCAAGAAAGTTCATGAAAGCTCATGTTGTTTTTGCATAAACAGTTGTTTTGGCACTCGCATTCACACTTCCGAAAAGTAAGAATGTAGCAACACATCCTTCTAGTTTTCAGGCCTTTCTACACCTGACTTTTGATTTGCTAAAGTTATTAGGGCTCCAGCGATCCACATCCATCACATATTTTAATAATATATGGTGGATTTCACAAAAATCACTCGAAATTACAAGACAGATTCTCTTTGTTATATCTTTTGAAACTTACTCATCAGGTATTCGTCAACAAATGAAAACATTATTTTGTTGCAATGAAAACATTATCGTGCTTTAAGACTGAATTTGAAATATTTAGCTCGTGCAGTGACGTAGAACACCTCGTTATAGTTCCAACTCCCCGCTATGACTGTTCTCTTTCCGACACAAGCACCTGCGACGTGTTCGAACACGCGACACAGGCGAATGCCAAGCTTGTTTTACATCCATATGACAAATACTTGTGAAATTAGAGCGTTCTAGCCAGCTTAGTTCCAGCTTGGCATTTCGCCAGCGATGATCAAATTTCAACTTTGGTCTGTTTCCCTCATGTAAATCAATCGATTCTGACTTTATTTAGGGAAAAACATGCCAAGCCAAATTTCGAGAGTGGAGTGGCTGGACCGTTCAACGGCCAGTCCACAGTACATCCCTAGCAAGTTTCAAAAACAGAAAAAGACAAAAGGTTATGCTCGAAGGGATCTGCTAGAACAAACGAAAAATCATCTTTTATATTTGAAACTTAAAAACAAATTCAGCTCAAGTAACATAAGCGATCTAAAAAAAA